TTTATCTGCTGCCTTTTTATCTTAAGCATTTTTTCTCTTTTCTTTTTCTTTTGTACTTCTCTCCTCATCAATTTTTATTTTGATACTTTTGTCATCTCTTGCTGATTTATCTTTATCTTTAGAATCACTATCAATTTCTTCTTTATCTTTAATCAATTTCTCTTCTTCTTTTTATTTCCTAGCTTTTTCTTCCTCTAATCTTGATTATTCTTATCGTTTTAAGTCTTCTTTTTTCTTCTCCTTTTCTAATACCCTAAAATAATCATCTTATCTCATTATATTATTATTTATATATAAAAATATTAAAAACTCATCTATTTTTCAAAACCAATTAAAATAATAATAATCTTTATATAAATTTATTTCATCTCAATATAATGAATAAGAAAATGAAACATTCAGGATCTATTACATCTAGATTACATGAATCAAGTTTGATGGACTCAATTTTAGATTCAACCACAGCAAGATAACCTCATTCCCTATGTGAAGATTCAATTGCCTTCATATTAATGGCCTAAAGTGCCAATGATCATATAAGAATTATAAGAGTATAATCATATAATTTAAATAGAGGAAATTATTCAATCTACTAAAGAAACTAGAAATAGACTTCGTTAAGGCATCCAAGATTTAAGGTTGAGTCTAAATAATCTTGAACATATGTAATAAAGAGACATACTTAATACTGAATATGAAATGACAGTCAATGTTAATAAATTGAAATCTGTAATATTTATTAATATATCTACAAGAATCTATTTTAACTTATATAAGATTAGAGAGAATAAAACAATTAATTTGATTAATAGATAGTCTCCTTACAATAAGATTGTGATGACATTGAATATCAAAGTAACAAATTGGATTAGAAATTATTATACATGTGTAGTAAAACAGGACAATATTAATATGTTGATTATGATAACTATATTCAATGACTTTATATAATTATAAAATACAGTGAATATAAAATTCTAATAAATTTATAAATGGTCTTTAGAAATAGGTCATACATATATAATAGATAATTAATAAAAATTGTTGAATTCTAAGTAAATATGATTCATATATTTAAATGATATAATTCATAAATATATCAAACAGATAAAATAGTTAAGGATTTTCAATAATTTTCTATTTAAAAAATAAGATAAATCTATAGAATAATATTGATTTTAGATATAAAGAATATATATTTTTATACAGCTAAGCAATTTAGCTGATATTTTGTATTAAATACTCAAAAGATCGAATAAAAATAGTTCAAAATTTTACTTTCATATAATAACCTTATAAAAAATTAAATTCTGTTTCTATCAAGAACTAGACAAAAACAATAATTAGTTGGTAACTTATTGACCCATAAAAATCTATTATGGAAATAGAGTATTCGATGTATTTTACTAAATTAACTACCCTTGTTGTATTGGACTGTAAATCACAGCCACAGGAGTTTAATATAACTAATATTGATGATCTAATGATAAATTGAAATAGATTACAAGAGAAATTTCCAAATAACATAGGACATGGAATTTACATATATGGATTAATTTGAATAGGCAATTAAGACTATATCTCTTGAATATCATTATTTATTTAGTTATAATTTTCCTTATTTAGTTGATTATCTCTAAATTGTTTTTCTTCTGTCTATTTTTAGACTTAATCAATTTTAGATTCTTAATCTTTATTATTAATTGGGATCTTTTAAGGAATTGAATAATATGGATTCTTTATCTTCAAATATTTTTATCTCAAATATGAGTAAAAACGATTTTTTATCATATTTTCCTAAATTATTAGAATTATATAATTACAGGTCTACCGATCAAAAGGTCCTAGATTTTAGTCCACTTTGATCCTATTTCTTTATAAGCTTTGAGAATGATTTAATCTTCTTCTTCAGTAAATGGTTCAAACTTTATTTATGGATTAAGTTTATTAATAAACCTTTCACGTATTTATTTACTCGTTTTTTCAGGAAGGAATTTAGCAATTTTACCCCAATTTCTTCTATATTTTGAGACTAATTACAAAATAAGTTGATCTTCTTCTTTAGTAAATGGTTTTCTTTTTTTTAACTAGACTTAATATATGAATTTTACATCTTTTGGCTTAATTCTTTTCCATCTCTAAGCACATTATGAAGGATTTCGATTACACATTGATGCTGCAATTTGTACCCAATTAGGTCCATACAATTTTAAGGATTATTCCAATTAATGATCTTCTTTAGTACTCCAAGGCTTTCTGATTTTCTTATTTTCATAAATCTTATTTCTTTTCCTTATACTTTTTTGTTTTATAGATATAGTATCTGTTACATCCGAAACTAGTTTATTTGATTAGCTTTCTTGTTTCTATATATCCTCAAGATATATCTTTCTTCCTTTTCTTTATAGAGATTAATTTGGTCTTATTATCTCATGTTCATCAATACTTTCTTATGAGAAGAAAGATTATACATCTTTAGACACTTCCATTTCTAGATAATAATAATAAATAAGAGAACTGTTGTTAATTTATACTAAAATATTAATGATGTTATGTCGTTGAATATTATAGTATTATAAATAAAAAAGGAGCAAATCAAAATATGATGCTTATATTCCTTTATTGAATTATTAAATAATTATCATATTGTTGCCAGATTTCATTGCAAAAACAACCATATTGTTATTTCTTATTATTTTTTTATTATTACAAAAACAATCAATTTCTTTCTTCTTATTAATATATTCTGATATATTTTAAGTTGCAATTATGAGTTTTATTGTGAATGTTGAGGGTTGTATAACAATTAATAAAAATAATGAAAATGTAAATTAGAATAATAATAATTAGGTTTATACTTTATATTAATATAATTCATTCATTTATATGAATATCATTCAGCTGATAACATTAATAAGTCTTAGACTACATTATCAAATAGAGGATGAGTCAATTCTGATAATTTAGTTTCAATTTCTTTAAGAGTTAATTCCTCGTAATACTTTTTACTTCTACAAATCATCAAACCACTAAGTTCTGCATAAGCTGGTTTCATTCCATGTTCATGAATAAAATCAAATTAGTTTCTCTATCTTAGTGTAATAATATAATACTCTTGGAAATATGTATGCTAATTATGGACTAATAAACATGATATTATGGGGTATTTCATGTGCCAATAGTGTATCAATTGCTAATGATAACAATTCTATTATGTTTTCTCCATTTACTACTAAGGTTCTTATTGGATAATTTTCAACTTCTCCAAGAGTTGAATTTTTTATAGTGGCTAAAGGTTTAATGGGAAATTCTTCAATTGGAAATCTATTATTATCAAAAAGTTGATCCACATAAATAAGATGTAAATGTAAATGATTGATAGAACAATTAGCTAATTTACTATGTAAATATATTAGAAATTTTGAAGTACCTATTATATCCTATTCTTAGATGTGGAGATTATGATATTTTAAAGAGTATGAAAACACTTTCAGCTATAAATCCGCTTAGAAGTTATTGAAATTTGGAATTCAAAAATGGAACAACAATTGAATGATATGAACATATTGGAGCTGTATTAACAAGTATTGGATTGTCATTATTTTCATTTATATTATTTTCGTCATCGACAATTTCTCCTGTAGAAAAATCTACTCGAAACAGTATTTCTCCTTATTCCACATTAAGAAAGTTAATGTCATTCTCATTGAATTCTCCAATCAATTCTGTTTCAGGATCTCTAATTTGAGTAGGTACTTTATTTTCAATCTCTAATTGAATAAAGAAAGATTACTAATTGTAAATTAAAATAAGCTTTAAATGGTTAGATAGATTTTGTATGAATGAATTTTAAAGTGGATCTAAATAGAGCTCTTTATTTTTCATATTTATCACTCCATTTTTATTTTAATATATCCTCTAAACAAGGCTTTTGGATCATATTATAATATCAAATTTATTGTACACAAAAATAATCATTAGATAAATTTGCTAATAAATTATTCAAAATCAGCATCTTAAATGGAACATTATTAATGATAAATGATTTTCTCAGTTTCTGTTAAAAAAATGATGGTCGTCAAATGAATAAATAAATCCCTAGAAAGAAATGGAAAGAAGTTGAAGATGAATTATTATTAAAAGCCATTAAAAAATATGGAAATTAATGGAGTAAAATATAAGAAGAAGTTCCAACTAAAGATTCTAAATAATGTTAAGCTAGATGGAAGATTCTTAAAAATGTAACATTATTATGATATTTAATTAATTTAGAAAGAAGAAATTTTAGATAGATTGGATGCTTTGGATGATTATTCAGATAATGATAATCTTAATCATAAATAAAAGAAGGCCAATAAAAAACATAGAGATATACCTCGTAAATATAATCCACATTTTCATTATAATGAAGAATCTTCTAGTGAATCAATGCATCTATAATAATTCCAATAAGCTTTGATTAAATAACCATATTAATTGTCATTACTTTAATAACAATAAAAAAGAGAGTAAATTTAGAAGTAGGCCTAAACTTAATATTAGAATGTTTGGAATGCTATGGATGACAAAATGTTATGGGCAGCCTTTAAAATATACAAAGGAGTTTGGAATCAAATCACATCTAGATTTCAAGAAAAAAATCCTTAAAGTTGTATGGAGAGATATTAATATGTTAGTTTTTTATTTAATTATTATAGTTACTATAACAAAAGAAAATGAAATTGTAAGAAGATGGATCATCTGTAGATATTATTTCATCATTGGCTGAAGATAGTTCCATATTGGGTTCAGAATAATTTGATATTTCTTTAAGTGAATGTGGAGATTCTACTGATTAGTAATAACAAACTGAATATAAGACTAATTCAATTGGAATTTATACTGTTTAATAATGTCATACAAATATTGAAAGAATTCTTAAATCATTTTCCAATCACAATTTAGATACATTACCTGGTATACGTGAGTCAATAGTTAAACTCATAATAACAGATTGATTTATTATTTATTGTTATATTTTATATTTATATCTCATCTGAAATACATTAAACTTCTGGCCTTTAATCCTTCAACTTCTGAAACATCCTCTTCTTATTTAACCCAATAATCAATAAATAATTATTTTTAAGCAGCATTATTAACATCAACTTTAATGAATTCATGATAATCATAAGCAACATGATCTTTCTAAATTTTATATCAATACAATAAATACCCATTCTTTTGGAACTTCATTTCCTCTCCAAAGCCATGCTCCTCTTAATTAGAGATTTGGTTCATCACCATAAACTCCATGAATAGCAAATGCATATTTTCTGAAATTTTGATCTAATCTTTAGTTTATGAATCCCTTCATTAAATTATTAGTGAGAATTAATTATTTACCTTCATTTTCTGATTTATTATATTTGATTAACCATAAAGACCATCCATTCAAATCAATAGTGGCAAAGAGAGTATCTATATTCTTTTAAATATCTTTTTCTGCAAAGAAGATTCTCTTATAATCATCAATATTGAAAGTTGAAGGTGGTAATAAATCAAGAGGATTTGCTTCTTTCTTTTTTGGTGCATCATCTTCTTCTTCTTATTTAGGTTATTCTTTTTATTTTGGTTATTCTTTTTATTTAGGTTATTCTTTCTATTTAGGTTATTCTTTCTATTTAGGTTATTCTTTTTATTCTTTTTATTTTGGTTATTCTTATTTATTCTCTTTCTTTTCCTTTTTATCTTTATCCTCAGTTACATCACTCTATTAAAAGGCAGTCTTTGGGAATCTTGATCTACCAAATTCCTTTGATATTTATAAATATAATTACTTCTCTCCATTAAGGTAATGAATTAATTTCGTTCAACCATTTTAATAAGTTTTGATATTTATTTCTCTATGATTCTCCAAACAAAAGTGTGAATGCAAATGTAATAACTTATGCTAAAGCAATATCAGCAATTGTCAATGAATCTCCAGATATATATTTAGATTTGCTTAATTAATTATCTACAATAGTTAATGTATGACTAATTTAATTTAAAGATGTCTTATATTATGTAGACATTATTGGAATATGTCCTAGAACTTATAGAGCAGATGTTACAACATCTGTTTCTAATTCATTTATTGTTACATCTAACCATTAATCAACTAAACCTTATTAATAAAGTGTTTTTCTATATTAAATTATTAAAATACCCATATAATCCTTATGAATGTCTTGCAATATATCTAAGAATAGCATTGCTTTCAAAAATATTGCCTTCTTATGTTTCTAAGACTGGCACTTTTCCAAATGGAAATTTGTTTTATAAATCTTAGAAATTCTTCTAAAGTATTTATGTATCAATCAATTCCAATTGGAGATTAGCCAATTTAGCTGCTACTAATATTTTATGTGTTCTTCCTTAACCAGATGGTGAATGTAATTTTATAGACATGAATTAAAGATTTAATTTAATTTTACTTTTTTAAACATCACACTCATTATTATTTTTTTATTAAAATACAATCAATTCTTCCCCCAAAATTTACCAAACACTCCTCTATATGTTGATTTCAATGCTTTTTGCTAATAAAACTTAACATTTATTTTTACATCATGTTAATAATAATAATGAATTATTGCCAATATCATTGCAAAAACTAAAACATCTCCTTTTGGAATATTTATCATCCAACCCTTCCTCTTTAATAGATTAAGGAATGTTTCAAAAAAACGAGGTACAATACTCAACATTATTTCTTAAACTCTTTTAACTCAATAAACAATAATACCTTGTTTTCGATTCTAATAATAAAGAGAAAGCCCCTATAAAACCTCCTGTTAATGGAATCCATGGGTCAACAGTATTTCGAAATCTTACTTGTTTGCACCAATTGTATCTCAATGATTAAACCATTAAAGTTAAAAACAACACACTCTTAATATATGATAACAATGATCTTGCTGTTGTACTAATTGGACTTAATTTTTAGAAATACAATCATACTTTTTTAAAAAAGCTTTTCTTTTATATATTAGGAATGGTAACAAATGAACAGGAAGATAGACTTTAGCGTTCTTAGTAAATAAGAGCGGAAGCCTCTTTATAATAAGTAATATACATATGAAGCAGTTGGGATTCACAAGTATATCCTGGATGGAAAAACTCACATTTATATGGTTATCCTCATTCTAAAAACAAGTTCATCATACCTTAGATGTAATTAAGTTGTTCCTCTACAGGAAAAGAGTAAATATCATTCATATTTGAATACAATTAATTTAATCATGATGATTAATTTTTTGATTAAAGAGTTGATAATACATCATTAAAGTGATTTATTTTTTGCAAATAATCTCAAAAAATTAGACATTTATATAAAAAATTCTTATTTTAGTATAAATTCTTACATTTTTTATAATAATATCATTAATTATATTTAGTTCAAATCATTAAGTACCACAACAAGTGTCAGATTGTTTTTTAATTTGTATACTTTGTTCAAAATTTGATTGTATTATTGGTTAATATGAACTTTTATGTTCAGAATTAAGATAATCTTAATGATTTGAAGACTTCTCCTCTTCTATACATTACTATTTGTACTCATAAATTTCTAGTTTGAATTTGAATAATAACTTCTAATTAACTGTTCAAATGATTCCTTAACATTAGTTCCTTCCTTTGCTGATGTCTCATAATAAATCATGTTGTATTTTTAACATATTTATTTCACTTCATTAACAGCTACACATCTATTTGAGAAGTTCTCTTGAATCAAATCCAATTTGTTACCAACTAACATAATAACTATACTGTCTTCTGTGTATTAAATAATCTCTATTAAAAATTAGTGCAATACTTCTTGACGCCAATTAAGTACATTATCAAAGGAATTCTTATCACTTAAATCATAAAACAATAATGCTCCTTCTGATTTTCGATAATGTGCTGTAGTAATGGCTTTATATTTTTCAGCTCCAGCTGTATCCCAAATTACCGATTTCACTATTTTCCCCTCTTCTGGTAATAAAATTGATTAAGCTGCATATTCTACACCAATTGTTGGTTGAGATTGTTTTTTGATAACATTTTTGGTTAATCTAAATTTGATTTGATTTATTACCTAATCAAATAGCTTGTTTTACCAACACTTGAATCTCCTACCAAGATTACTATCCCCTAAAATGTATTAATTACTTTTGTATAATTCATCATATGATTTGATAGGTTCATCCATTTATAATAATATTTTATAAGAAATTATAAAATTGAGTAAGTCTCTCATTCTATAGATTAATCAATTTAATAAACTAAATTTATCCATCATTTCTATGAATTCATTGTAGTCGATTTCTCCATCTCCATTTTTATCTGCCTCTCTTATCATATCATCCCAATACTTTTCATCAATTATATTATCACTTTCTAAATATATATAAAAAATAGCATATTACTTCCTAATACAGTTTATAATTCATGTTTATCAATCTTCCCACTTCCATCTAAATCCAACATCTTGAAGGCTTAATACAATTTCTCTTCTTTCATGTATAGAGACTTCTCCATAGTGGCAGCCAAGAATTCTGAAAATACTTGAATCAATACCTGTATAATTGATTGTTCCATTTCCATCAGTATCAATACTCTTTATGATATTTCCTAAGTCTTTTGCTTATGTATCACTCATTCCTGTTAACCCTTCTCTTAATTCTTCAATAGTTAAAACTCCATCTCCATTCTTATCCAATTATTTGAATAACCTTAATCTTAGATAGTAATTAATACTTTCCTAAATCTGTGATTTCCTATTCATTCAATTAAGAAGCAATAAATGTCAACGCTACTTTCTTCAGTTTGTTACTACCGGTAAAATTTTTCAGTTGACCAAAATTTAATTTCAATTCTAGAATGAAAATTTAGGAATTGTACATTTAGTTTATTTACTGCCATCTTTCATCCATTTATGTTATATAACCTATGATGCTTTATATCTTTTTTCAGGAGTAGTAATCATATGAGAGATTAAATCTTTAGCTGATTCACTTACAGCTTTCATCTCTGGGATTTAAAGTGTATACTCTCCTTTTTGAACTGCATCTAAAATTTCAGGATCGCTATCCCCATAGAATGGTGGTACTCCAGATAAGAGTATATATAGAATGACACCTGCACTCCAAATATCACAAGATTCATCATAACTTCCTTTTAATACTTCTGGAGAAATATAATATGGGGTTCCAGCTTTAGTTTTCATAGTAACTTTTTAATTTCCTGTTTATTTGGCTGAGATTGGATCTTCAAATAAGGTGCTTAATCCAAAATCAATAACTTTGATTGGAGAATCTTCTGCTTTAGTTAAAAATAAAAAGTTTTCAGGTTTTAAATCTCTATGACAAATTCCGTTAGAGTGACAATAATTTAATGCCTAAGTAATTAATATATACTATATACTTGCATAATTTAAAGAAAGATTTCATGTGCTTCTGCTTCACTAAAACATCCTTTATCCATAATTCGATCAAAAAGTTCTCCACCATCACAAAGTCTTTAATAATTTTATGATATCGATACTCCATAACAAGATAAACGTTTCTTTAATCTTCAAAGGTTTCGTATAATTTGATGATATTTGGATGATCTAATTGTCTAAGTATATCAATTTCTTTTTTGAATCGATCAGGGTTCTTAACTTTGCTTTTAGGAATGACTTTAACAGCTCTTTGATTTTTAGTGCCTTTGAGGTTGGCTTTGACAACACTTCCATAAGTACCAGATCCAATCACTTTTTTTAGATTGATATCATAATATTATTCAATTTTGCCCTCTTGACTCATAATGAACCATTATTTCTTCAAAAATACATCTTGATTCATACTTCTTTTTTTTAATTTTTTATTATATTGATTTTAAGCTAAAATGCCTAAATATATATCTATTTTTAATATCATTCTTCATTCTTCGGATCATCATGTTTTTTATAATATTCATTGACTTGATGATCTTGTTTATTTTCTAATTCTAATGGACCAATGTCATCAATGAAAGCTTCTTCATTTTAGATAATTTATGCAACTAATTTTATAAAATAATAAATACCTTATTCTGGTTTAGTTTATGGATCAGAAATAATTTCTTCAATTTATTCATCAATCAATTCTTATTCCTCTGAACTTTTTTTATGTCTAATAATTAAATAAATAAAAATACTTTGATTAAAAATATTCTACTTTTGGTTCTTCTTATTAAATTTATTATTACATTTCTTCTAATTATTATAATCGTCCTTCTTCATTACAATCATAAAATTTCTCTTATTCTTATTCTTAATCTTAATCCTATTCTTAATCAAATTCTAAATCCTAATCTTTATCATAATCATCATTTTCATTTTCTTTATTATTATCATCTTCAGGAATATCTTCTTCTTCTACTTCTATATCTTCTTCTTTATCATCATTTCCTTTTTGAGGTTAAAATGTTGTTGAATCCTAGATACATTAAAACATTTATCTTGGTTTTGGATCAACATCACATAATAATTGTTTTTCTACTGAATTAATTTTAAAAAGTGTATCATTAACATATTGATCCCAAACTTCATTAGTAAAATGATTATCTACTAATAAATTAGATATTTTTGTTAATATTCCTTAATATCCTGGTGAAATATTGTATTAAAGAGATCCAACTTTTTTTTTTTCATTTTTATTATATTTAATAATGGTTAATGCTAAGAATTCTTAGATTGATTTGAACATCTAAGGAAGTTTCTAAAATATAATATTAACTATTTTATCAAACCAAATTAAAGCTTAATTATTGAATTCATGTGACAATATTAAATTTGTAATAACTTAAAATGATTAATTATTTATGAGTTCATTCAATATCTCTTCTTTTTCACTAAGTAATAATAAATAAAATATTTAGAGTAATATAAGTTTGTTAGAAGAGAAAGGAATTATTATTTAACCATAAGTAGTTTGATGAGGTATAGCATAGAAATTAACAGTTGTAAATGCATTTGGGAGATGTTTAGCTACATCCATAAAGTAAAGAAAGTAATCTGTTTTACCTGAATTATTAATATATTACAATAGATTGGATACTAATTCATATGCTGCAGTTCTCTAACTTTAATACTAAAATCATTATTATATTATATTTACACAGATAGTGAGAAAGAAATATGGATTCAATAATATTTTGATTAACTCTTCCTAATCTGGATTAATTGAACTCTTTAAGAGATTATTGATAATTAATAAACAATTATCGAAAACCTAATTATTGAATTAGAATAAATACTTCAATTTCATAATAACGATTTAAGGAGATCTTCATAACTCTTTATAAAATAGATTTCTGTTTTTCAAGTAATTGATTTTCATCATTAGGATCTGGAATAATTACTTTTTCAATTATTTCAGCTATATGTATAATGTCAATATGTTTAAGTAAATTTGAGATATCTCTTTCATTTAAATATTATAACATCTAATGTTATATATATATATATATATATTACTTTGAAATGTTTCTTCTTTAATAAAGTGAGGATGACTTTAGAGAAATAACCTGCTTATGTTATGTTAAGTATATCCTCATTTAAAAGTGAAAATAATCTATTTAAATAATGAAGATTTTATTCTTCAAAAAGGAAATCTTAAAAGAAATCATTCTCTTTACTCAAAATCTCACTTGCTAAAAAAGGATATCTAGTTTGTTCTTGAAATAGACTTATACTTATATTATTATCGTGAATGGTTAGCCTCATCTCCAAATTCGGTAATATACTCGATGAGGGTCTCCAGATGCTCAGGGTGATCTTTGACGCTATGAATCATGCCCATGATTACTAATTAAGCAATTTGTATTGTTATTAGGGCATCAATAGATCTTACAATAGCAACGATTCATCCAATATTAATTTGATGTCCTTCTTTTCTTCAATGAATTCATCCATTCGCGAATTCATAAAGTTAAACATTCTGAAAATCATGATTAAATTAAATTAATATTTTTAATATAAAATTAATCTCTCACAATTCTCCTAACAACAACAATACATCTAATGAAACAAAGCATTCTAAAGCCTCATAATTAACAAATCCCAAATTTGTAAATAATCTATTTATAATATATTTATTATACCTAGCAGTCTCTTTATTTCTAGATTCAGATCGCTACCAAAATTCTCTACTATCAGACCCTGGGAACATAGGTCTATCCTTTTAACTTTAATGTTTGAATATTGCTATC